AAGGTTCATTATCAATATCTCAAAACCAGTAAAGTTAAGAATTTTTTAACAGCAATATTTGAAGTAAAGAGAAAAAATGTATAATCAGCGATCATCTTGATTCTTACGACATTGCTATTGGGAGATAACGGCAATGATTGAAAATCCATGACAAAAGTATTTTATTTCTTTGTGAGCACAGTGGTTTAGTTTGCGATACCTTAATATTAATTTTAAGTACTCGTTATTCAGTTGTTTTATAAGATGTATAGTTAATTTGAAGATAGATTCAAAATTTTTATTTTTTTTATAGCCATTATAAAAGCTGACCCTGAGGACCAACTAAACCTTTACCCTGGCAAAGGTATAAAAAATAAAAAAAATTACAAGAGATAAACACTCCAACTTTGCTGATGAATTCCAATCAAGGTCATTTAGTGTTATCTCCGTAAAAAATGCACCAATGACATTTATAATTGCATTGGTTGAATAATGTAACTATTACTTCATCGGAGCTGTCTGTCCCATGGCCGTCCCAGATTACCCCGCCTACGGGGTAAAAAGGACCAAGTAACAAATTTTGAAAAAAAACACCAGAGAAATATTTCTACAATGATGAATTTTTACGGAACTAGTCAAATAGTTGTTTCTTTGATATGTGTTATTTGTTGTGATATAATTGCGGTTTGATTTTCACAATATAAATGCACAAAGTCAAATTGGACCTTCATGCCCTGCCCTACACTATTTGAAAAATTTAATGCCTGACATGGGGGTATAATATAACTGCTCTCAATAATAAATAACTTTATAAATAAACCTCCACTTACCATTGTAAGAGATATTTTTATATCTAGTTAACAGTTAAAAAGTGATTGAATAATAATAACAATAAATACTAAATTGAATTATTTCTTATTATCACAGACGATATGGTTTGACAACCGATAAAAAAAAATTTATTTATACTGATTAACATTGACTAACAACACGACCAACACATAACCCCATTTTAACTCGGTTTGGTATATTGCATTCCCATTGCTATCCAAAGCATTGAACCAATGAACAGTCAATTTAACGAACTGCCGCTGCCGGCTGCTGCCAACACTTGAATATGTAGCGACCTGGCAACCCACATCGCACCTCAATTTGACAGTTAAACATTATCTTTGGCTCATCATGTTGGCAACACTACGCGAGAACCAAAGTGCAAGCTTTAGGGTCGGAACTCTCTCTTCCGTCTGCTGCCGAACAGTTTCTATAATTGGTGACCCCGAAAGTGAATAAAAAAACACGCATAAAGTGAGAAGGAAGTGAAACATGTGCATAATTTACAAGTGAGCAAGAAATACAGAACGTTCTAGTACCTACAATGGAGATTCCGACCACGCACATTGAAATCAACAACAACACGTGCTCAATAAATCACTCATTAACCTGGAAAATGAGTCGATTATAAGCACCACGGCAGCGGACAGGGAGCACCAAGCAAACATGGCAAACGCCATACAACACGGCCACAATCAAGCGAACAACGCACCAAGCAAACATGGCAGCAACCGCCATACAAAACGGCCACAAGCAAGCAAACAATGCTCCAAGCAAACATGGCAAACGTCATACAACACGGCCACAATCAAGCGAACAACGCACCAAGCAAACATGGCAGCAATCATGCAGCAATCGCCATACAAAACGGCCACAAGCAAGCGAACAACGCACCAAGCAAACATGGCAGCAACCGCCATACAAAACGGCCACAAGCAAGCAAACGATGCACCAAACAACATGGCGACCGCCAGCAAAAACGGCCACGGCTACAAACAAACAAAAATTAATCAAACAAAAACTTAAAAAAAAAAACTCAACAAAAATTTACAAGAAAATTCAAGATGGCAGCCCGAAGTTCAAGATAAACTTTTCGCCGGGGGAGAGTGATCTGTAGCGACCTGGCAACCCACATCGCACCTCAATTTGACAGTTAAACATTATCTTTGGCTCATCATGTTGGCAACACTACGCGAGAACCAAAGTGCAAGCTTTAGGGTCGGAACTCTCTCTTCCGTCTGCTGCCGAACAGTCAACATCATAAATTACAATACTTTCCTTTTCATTTTCAATACTTAAATATTATGTACATCTTATAAATAATAAATATAATCGCACGTAGTGTTGTTACTATTTCATTACAAATAAAATATATTATATATAGACCACAGTTTCTATAAATATAATGCTAATGCATCATGCTGGCAACCCTAGACAATACTAGCTGTAAGTGGAATTCTGTCTTGCAAATTGCTGGAACTTCCCGTAACAAAAATTATTATTTTTTTAAAAACGATTAACATTTTTGAAAAAAATTTACTTCGAAAAAATTAGATTTTTGAGAAAATATAAATTTGACAAAAAATTACTTTTTTTTGAAAAAAAAAAAATTATTTGAAAAAAAAAATCTTTTTCGAAAGAAAAAATTTTTTTTGAAAACAAAAAATTTTTTTGATAAAAAAATGTTTTCTTCATTTTGACATATTTTGGAAATTCTGAACTTTTTTCAAAGCAATCGTACTGCTTTAACTGCATAGAGATAAAATGTCAAGCGCGTAAGCGACGCGCCGCCGTCTAACTCATAAGCATTGGTACGGAACCCATAGAAATGTAAAAAAAAATTATACTTATTGTTAAAATCTCTATAAAATATCTGATAATTTGATGTGCATATGTCTAATGATCATTTTTAACCGCCGAATGGCATTTTTTTTACTTTTTTATTAGATCTCCGAAACCGCTAGACCTGCCTTCATGAAAATTTGATCAATTCTTTATCTTGTCAATACAAGTAAAATGTTTTTTGAATTATTCAAATTGGACGCTCCGTTCTCTTAAAAACTGTTTTCGGCACTTTTTGCCCCGTATCTTCGGAACGGCTAGACCTGTCTTCGCCAAAAACTAATCAGCACGTCTCCTTATCAATACGTATCAAATGCTTAAAAATGAATTATTCAAATCGGTTGATCCGTGTTCCCGAAATCGTCGACGAAAATTTGTATCCGCACACACATACATACACGCACACACATACACACACACCCACACACACACACACATACATCCATTTTTTCTAATAAGGTATGCCAAAATATTCAGAAACCTCTGAAACGTTTACGTAAAGATATATAAAAATTTTCATTTTCGATTTTTTTGCAATTACTATAACTTGCCCTACGGGAAGTTAATAATAACTAGTGGGGCGCATGACCACCACTATTATGCTTATTTATGCACTATTATGCTTATTTATCTATGCGCATGGCATCGTGCCTTAAGGCAAATTGCTGGAATTTCCCGTACCGTAATTAAAAATTCGAGGTATGAAAATAATATATAATTGTTTTAAATAATTTTAAATAGATTATTTATTATAAATACATACTGTAAATTTATATGTGCTTATTGGGCGACGAGCGTATTCTACAAGCATCTTATGTGTATGCTTACAAAAAATTTTTTTAATTTTTTTTTAAATTTGATTTTTTTGATAATTTTTGAATTAAAAAAAATCGTTTCTTTTATTTTTTGAGAATTTGGAAATTTTTGAAAATGTTTGATTTTTTTTGAAAATTTCGAAATATTCTCAAATTTTTGTAAGAAATCGTTTTTTTTAATTTTGATGTTGTTCAAAGGGTATGGGCGTGTTTCCATACAGAATTGGCCCCACCCTGGTATTTAGATAATTTTGATGCCATTTTATAGGTATTTTTGAGAAAATTCGAAATACCAAATTTCAAATCCGTAGCTCATTATTTGGCCGAGATATCAGTGAAAACATGTGAAAGTGGCCCCTTTTTTCAAACATACTTTTTGTCGGAAATATGAGAGATATCGAAAAACTGTTAACGTCATTCTATTTGTACTGATCTTGTCTATGTTGTTCATAACAAATAATGTGAAAAAATTATTTGTTAGTGCGTGAAACGATGAAAATAATTTTTCATTTTCCATTTTCTACTAGTGCGGCTTGTTTGACTACTTTTATATTAGCATCATTCAAAAGCCTGTACATTTTTCTTCTATTATTCAAAAATTCATTTAAATCTAAGTGGAACTTTGGGAGAAAAGTTGGAAAAACTTAAGATAGTGCGCGCGCTACCAGTTCAAGAACGCCCATATAAAGTCGCTTTGCAAGAGCGACGCGCAAGCATAAGGCTCGTCGTTACTGCGCGTCCCGACAAATTATGTATATAAGTATGGAAATATTTAACCAAAATTTAACCGAAATTTCATTATATTTAACCAAAAAATTTCAAAAATTTAATCAAAATTTCATTATATTATTAATTTATATGTATATATACTATAACAATATAATAAATATTTTCACATTCAAAATTTCTTAAGAAATTAAGTAAAAAAAAATCGCTACAAACAGAAAATAATTTGATAAAAAAATTTTATAATTAATAGTTTAACTAATTTGTATTAAACGTTCCTATTATTGTAATAAACATACATATATGCACAAAAGGATATTGTAATGATTTTTGTTTCTTTCCTTTTCGAACTGAACCGGAACAAACATGAGAACCGTTTTCTTAATTTTAGCGTTCCGGTAAAAAAAAATATTAGCACAACACTGCTGTATATATATAAAATTTATACAATGGTACATCAAACAGTGAACGTGGATGAATATATTATAAGATATTTTTATCCTTGCATTTAGGCCTATATAATATTTCTTTATTTTTATTTTGAAATTATTAACATCACTTTTATATTGCTCGAAAGTTCATTATAAATTTTTGTTGTGCTCCATATAACATTTCCGCTCATTTTGTTATTTTCTATTGTGTTTAATGTGAATATTTCCATATAAAATCGAGAACGTATAAAACAAGTACTATGTGAAACGAGGGATAAGTGTTTATACATATATATTTTCCATTTTATTTATAAAATATATAGTTATTTATTTTACATAATTTACAACTCTAATAGATGAATATTAACTATATAATCTAGATTTTAAATTATATATTATTGATTTTAAAACAATTTTACTTGAGCAGGGTTCATTCTGGATCATCTGCAAAAAAAAAAATTCAAGCTTTATTAACATCATGTTTCATGTTTATGATAATAGATGAATTATTATTAATTGAAATTAGTTTTTGTATGAAATGTTATCAAAGAAAATTCTACATTTTCATTTCAGAATAAATACCAAATATTTTACCAATTTTAGATTCTTGTTGAGAAGTGAATATTTCAGGTGATTCTTCAGCAACTGTTAGTTCTTTCCTTGCAGAACTTATCTTACGTGTAAATTCTTTAGAATGTGGTTGACTAGGAATACCTTCAGCCACTAAACTGGCTGAAGAAAGCAAGACCGACACTTGTTCTGGAGTTGGACACCCAGCAATAATTATTTCATCAGAGGTATAGCCACCATTGTTTAAATTCTGTTCTAGCTTTACAAATGCCCCTACAACATTATTCTACAAAGCACAAGAGATTAAATTAAAAAATGAATATTAAAAAAGTAATTAAAAAGTTCTGCATGTTTTAAGTAATATATGTAAGCCATTTCTAGCAATGCATATATTAAGTTCAGATATGTAAAAATAAAACATTTTTCATGAAACTTTAAATTCAATATAATAATATTATATTGATCTTCTAGGATATTGACATTAATACAATATATTAAATAATTAAATTAAAATAATATATTTATTTATTTTAGAATAAGCGACATACCCTAATAGGCCTGAACAGTATGAATTCAGTATCCTTGTTCGAAAGGTACAACTGAAGGGACCTTTGAAGACCAGCAAGCCTGGCTTTCATTAATTTTTGAGTTTCCTGTACTATCGCACCAATCTCTTTGGGTCCAGCCCAAGGTTGTGATTTAAGTGTAGTTGACAGCTTGTTTTCATCTACATTTTGAAAAAATGTTGCAACCTAGAATTCAATAAAGCTACAGATAATAGTACTCAAGATTTTGACTGACACATATTTTGCAGATTTTAAATGAAATTATTATAATATTAAATTCCTGATACATGCAAATAATGAAATTAATAAATAGGAATTAAGATTGAACTGCTGTCGTTAGTAATGTTCATTAATTTAATACATTCACGCCGGCGTGGGCCACCGGTTTCCCGCACAACACTGTTCCACCGGGCGGCGCGGGCCGCCGGTGACCCACATTTCGGAGACAATAACCACGCGCCACCTCAGAGATAAACATACCAAAATCGGGCCCGGCGTGAATGTGCGAATTTAGGTCAAAATTTTAATTAGGTATTTCGAAAATAAAGTTTTTCCTTTCACTAAAAACTAATCATGCGATTTCTAATTGATATTTTTCAAAATTTTTCAAACAGACTTATATTATCCGTGATTGTATTAATTATAGCGGATAAACACGCGGTTGTACCTATGTCCTAAAAGCGCTGCTCATCATTCTTAATACATTTCTAAACCTTAATACATTTTTATAATTCAAGCATTTTCAGTAGAACTATAATATTTTAGGGTTTTCGTTTACGGTTTCAACTTCCTGTAGGGTATGTTATAGTATAGTAATCTAAAAATGAACATTTTTCCATATCTTAACAACTCAAAGCTTTTTGAATATTTTGGCATGTGTGTGCGTGTGGATACAAACTTTCGTCGACGATTTCGAGAGTACAGATCAACCGATTTCTTTGATTCAAATAACATTCGATTCGTATTGACGAAGAGACGAACTGATTAGTTTTTGGCTAAGGAAGGCCCAGCTTTTCGAAAATATGGGGCAAAAATGGTAGTTTTTGAGAAAACGGAGCATCCGATTAGGATAATTTAAAAATATTCAAACAAATTTTTCAAAAATTCTAAAGCTCACTTATATACGTCAAACAAATAATTTTAACTTCGCAATTCAAATATTTGTATTTTATTCTAATCAATTCTTAGAAATATGAGATAATATGCTCTCTCCCTAAGCTGACACGACTTTTGTTCATACACATATGTTTACATTCCTTATAAACATAGTATAGTTTGTATGCACAATTATAAACACAGGGTCCGACAGATATAATGGATGGATTTCCAAGAATTATAAATATTAAATGACAACATTAACCAAAATGTTTGTTTTGCTAAATGTTTAGAGGGTTAGGTCAGCTCTGAAGTTTTTCATATCAAATATTGTCATTTCAGGCAGCATCTTTGCAAATTCTGCTTTAAATGCTTTTTAAGGCATAGATGGCTTGAGGACAGTTAGTGTACATTCTTTTTTCCAGGATGAACCTTAGAAAAAAATCACATGGAGATAGATTGAGCAAAAGTTCTGACCATGTTATGTGAAATGATGTGGCCTGGAAACATTTGAATTCACTTGATCTGTGCGAAGTGTCCCTTCCTTGTTAAAACTACATCTCACCATTCAATTGCTTTAACATAAGTTGCACAAAGGTCTGTGACATGTGAAATTAACAAGCGGAAATCACTGTAACAGCCATACCATGATTTCCATACACAAGAATGAAGACACCATCAAAGAATGAGCTGACATGTAACTATACGTCTTTGGAAATAATGACTACTAAAACATTATTTTATAGTGTACTCACAAAGCTCCAATACATTTTCTAACTCTATCCATATAGACAACAATGGACGCTTGTAATCAATCCATTATTTGCTGGACCCTATATTACACATCTACGAAATATGTATGATTAAATTTATTTATACAAATTTATAATAATCTTTACATAATATAAGAATAAAAATAAAAATTTGAAAATATTTAAAACAATATCAATCATTGATTAATTTGTTTTGTTATTTATTGATTGTTGAATAATATGTTTAATAAACCTCTAATGATTAATTACGAAATGAGAAGTTTCATCAATTTTCCCATAAATAATAATACAAGGCTACCAGTTTTAATATTTAGTTAAAAAGAAACAGCCCGGCCGATCTTTGCCAAAAACTGATCAGCAAAATGGCCAACTGATATCTTCTGTACCTTTTATAAATTTTCAAAATAGATTCAGGATTTTGTGCGGAAACGTAAACAAATTCTTTTGCACTTTTCTGCTAATTATAAAGTAACGATTTGGCAAATTGATAAACGCGAGTTTTATTGAATAGCTTTTGAATCTTTAAAGTTCTGCTTACATATATAAATGGCGAAAACAAACTTCACCTTTGAGAAATTAAACAAGAAAAAATGTGTACATTTAAAAAAAAATCCTTTTGCTTATTTTTTATGTAAAATATAAATACAGCAAATATGCTTTTACAATATTTGATATTTTGCTATGCATTTGTATGTAATACACTTAAAATAACTGAAATTCTCTTACCTTATTATTGAAATCAAGAAGAGGTGCAGCCAATAAAATAGTTGATGTTCGAATAAAATTTTCACAGGAAGTTTTCAGTTGACGATCAACATCTTTACGAGAATCTAGCAATTGTTCCTTTACTTGGGGCGTTCCATCAAGTAAAAACTCCAAAATCGCATTATTAGTTCCCAAAGAAAACAATTGCTTTCGCTTCTGAAGTAAACCAAAAGCAGCAGTCTTCACTTTGCTAAAATCCAATCGCATTTCTTTCACAGTAAAATCAACTTGAAATGGGGCAATTTGTTCGCGTAAGATCAGTAGATGTTTGATTTGGAATAATTCACCATCAACAATTGTCTAAAAGTTAATTAAAATCATGGTAATAATTTGATAGTAATTTAAAAAAAAAGTTATATATTTATATGAAAAATCAATTACCTTTTTTGAAGATATTGATTGTGCAGCGCTTGCTACACTCTGTATACATAATGACAGAGCCTCTTGTGATAAACCCTGGAAAATCGGTCTGTCCACACAGCGATACAATCGAGACAAACAGACTAGTGTGCGCCTCACTGTAGGGTACCACATTCCATGCAGATCAGCTGGAGAACCTAAAAATAATATATATTTAATATTAGTAACTTTGCTGAAAATCCTAGAAAGGATTGTTGAAAAATTTTAATATCAAAAATAAACAATCTATCTAAAATGTTTCTACTTACTAATTAATCTGGATTTTGCTTGATCAGAATTTATTCTAGCTACTTCTTGAGATGTATTAGAAGTAGTAGATGAAATAGACGATCTTGAATCTGACCTCCGCAGCGGATGCTCTTGTAGAGATTGTGCTATGCTCTAGAATTGAATTTACCATGAAAATATTATGAACGAGTTACCAAATCTATCAACATTTTACTTGAGACATATTTTAGCCAACATTGTTCAAGTTCAAGTTCACATACTTAATGATAACAATAATTAGAGACAGATTATAATATACCTACCAAACATTGAATTAATTTGAGATTATTTGAACAATATCATCTTGTATTTTAAATTTAACTACGTTTTTTTTTCAAAAAAAAACTGCCATGTAAAAAATTCATAAATAGAATAAAGGTATAATTTAAGTTTTTAGACAAAACTATTGTGGATACTACCTTGTAGACGCACTTGAGAAATACCAAATCAAAAATAAATGTTAAATTAGAAAAATAACACATAATCACCTCCATCATTTCCAACTTTTCAGGATAAGCAAGATCGCCAGGGGCGGGAGAATATTGCAGAATATCAGTTTGTAAATATAAGTGAGCTCGGAAAACCAATCTTTCCTGAACATCCTGCAGAAGTTGCCACACAATTTGTGAAAATGCTTCCAGAGCTTCAGCTTTTGCAAAAAAAAAAAAAAAAAAACACTGAAGTAATTTTCATAGCACCATAAAATCCAAAAATAAGTTTTGCAAAATATTATAGTGAACTTAATATTATATAGATAATAAAATACATACAATTATTTTGAACATGTTCATCAAGCATTTCCACTTTTAAAATACTGCAAAGCTCAGCTAAGGTTTCTAAATGATTTATATGGATTATTAAAGGTCTCAACATGTCATACAATGTAGAACACAATCCATGCAGATAGTCACTGAAATTATTTTAAATTTATTTATATATTCGAACAAGATAGTTATAACATTATTTATCAATTAAACAGAATCTGAATTAGATCTAGACATAAAAGCAATATTTTAGAGGCAGATTATATACATTAAAATATAAATTCAAAATATTGAATTAAAAAAAATACTTACAAAAGTTGTGGACTTTTTTCTGTAAAAAATTGGCAGAACAATCTATACTCATCCTGACAAATATGAATCAAAAAAGCACAACTTTTTCGAACAAGTGCGCAATGATCACCATGATGAACTGAACTGTTCTCTCCATCATTGCAAAGATTTAGAATAGTACCTCGAACATCTAAACATAATTTATTCAATTAGTATATAGTATAAACACACACACATACACACACACACACACACACACACACATATATATATATATATATATATATATATATATATATATATATCTTGATATTGTTTATTTCGACATTGAAACATAATATGATAATGTTTTTCAGCCACAAGTCGAAAAAATAAAAACAGAACGTAAATATAAATCTTTTTTAATACATTTCGAGCTATTCTGCTAGCTCATCATTCAGCTAAAATACAGAGTAATAAAACAAAGTAACAAAATAAAATAAAACAGAATTAAAATTAAACATACTTTATATATATAAATATAAAGTGATGGTATTTTTCAGATGGTGAAATATTATGATAGAATTGTTCTTGTGCATCTATCCAATAATTAAACAATTTTAGTGAATAAAAATGTCTTAATTGCCAAACGTTTGAGGTCCTGTTGACCCATCTTCAAATGCATATAAATAATTTAAAAAAATGTTGCACTAATTAATATAACTACAATTTTTTTTAATAAATATTAAATTAATTAAAATAAAAATAAAATAAATGAATAGATTCTCATCGAGACATGTTATTCGTTTGGAATTTGTTTACCAAGTAAAGAACTTGTTACTTGTTTTTACATGTAAATTCAAAATTTAACAAGTAAAAACTTGATTTTAGTTAAATTTTAAATTAATATATATATATATATATATATATATATATATATATAGTGTCAATCAGAATATTATTCTTGTAAACTTACCATTGGTCATAATTTGCATTCTCTGAGATATGAAATGGTTCTGCAATTCTGCAAGTAATAGCCTATAGCTGCAAATATTTATCAAATATTGTTTACGTTATTTTTAAAACAAAACTCATGCAAAAAAAATTACTTACTCATCATAAACTTCACATCTCTTTTCAACTTCCTCAATTATCTTTTTTATTTTAGGAATGCATGTTTGAAATTTTCCATAGAACAAGGCAAAACTATCAGAACCATTTTGTAATTGTAGTTTAGAACCTATAACCTATTTCATATTATTCAAATTAATTAACAGAAGTTAATTAGAAATAAATGTATAAAACATATAAAAATTTTAATATTCATTTCAATTCCCATCCAATTATCATTCACCAACAAAAGCAAAACACAAATATAATTATATTGAAGAAAAATATTTGAGCTAAAATATAAAGCAATTTAAAAGCTTGAAGCTCACAGAATATTTTTATCCTTATGAACATAATGTAGTATATTTAACTTCTAACCAAAAAAGTCTGCACAGAGAATGCCGTTATAAAATCTCATTCTTATTTCAAAATATTTTGTAATGTAACATTAATTCATATATACGAATGCATATTCATATGCACTATTTCAAACAAAAAAATCCAAAATGAAAATGTCTTGTTGACGGAACTATGTACGTTCCATTCACAAGTTACAACCATTAAAAACATGTTCTTAGTTACAACGTAAACAACAAATTTATAGGTATCATACACAAAATGTAGATGAGTAAAATATTGTTTTGTAATAAATTTAGATTTATAATTTTGCATGTTATGTAATCAATTGAGTCACACAAATTATGTTACTGAAGTGTTTTGAAAAAAAAAATGTAAAAAGAATTCAGAATTGTTTTTTCTTCAATTTGAAGCATCTTAAATTATTAATAAATAAATAAATAAATTATGTTGAAAGGACTTGGTGCCTTCAAATTTTGATTTTTCAATTTGATTGGCCTAACTCCATTCTTGAATACACATATTATTCACCTAATAGGAATTGAAATAGGAATTATAAATTTAACACCCCCAGATACACTTAAGTAGAACAACTTATTAACACTCGATATGTATATTTTTAAATAAAAATAATGATTTAAATATTGCGATTTTAACATAAATGAACATAAGCCATTTTCAACATGAACAGTTCCTATACTAAATATACTATATATAAATACATATAGTTAATTGAATGTTGAAAATACCTGGTCTGTTGCATTATTTAGAACTTGCATGACATAATTGCGAATGAGAGTAATAGCTTTGTACAAACAATGCCTATACCTTGCTTCAAAAATTGGAGCTTCTTTGCAATTCGGCTAAAATGATAAAATCATAAATTGTATATATATATATATATAAATAATAAAAATGAATAAAATATTTAACATAAAAGAATACAATCAGATCTTATCAGCAACAGTCATAGTGGAATCAACACAATGGTGACTCAACACATCAATGTATCATAAATTTGCATCATACAATAATTAATTTCCATTTTTGCTCCAAATTCAAGAATATAAATTAGAATTAGGACAAAATAATTACTAAACCAATAATACATTAAAATTGTATTGATTTATGTTCCTAATTTAATAAAACATGAAACTGCTTACATGGTTTTTCATGTACAATATGCATTCATCAATTTTATTGAGAACTTGAATAAAAGAATCACTAGTAACTGCTAATGTTTTCCCACAAGATAACCGTTGTCCTAGTTTTTCAGCTTGGTTAAAGTATTGCAATCTATCACATATATCATTGCAGATAATGTTTAATTTATTTTGATCTGAAAGCAGATGCTCACTTGCATTATTTAATAAACTTGTATTAACTGATACTAAGCTGTGTTCAGAAGCCAATTCATTTAATGCTTGAACTGAATCATCAATCTGAAATATAAAAATAAACATAATACTAGTATTGAACAAATAAAATACTGCATAAAAACTAGGCTTGGACCGAATATTCGGTATTCGGCACCTCTTTTGACATTCGGTCGGATAACGAACAAAAATATGTATCTGCATAAAGAATTCTTGAATTTTGTTAAATTATGAATTGAAATTAAAATAAACTCTGTACCTCAAAAGGAAACCATGTGTAATGACGATACCATTACCATGGGGCAAATAGAGGCCCATTATTCTAGGACCCATCTAGTACAACTACACACTTTGTATAATCACATTTATAGATAGATCCAAAAAGCTTACGATGTGATGGTTTAAATAACATATGATTGGAGATGACTTCTTGATTGTATACATAATAAATTATATTTTGATAACTTTTGAGATTATAAACACATCAAAAACATCCTTCTGAATACTCCTCAAACAATTTGTTACGAACAATATGTCATCAAACAATATGTTACTGTTATATGTTTGTTATTTTTAAATGGAATCAATAAATAATTATGCTTGAGTGTTTGCATATATACAATTAAGTTTCATCCTTATTTATGAATTTATCTTATTTATTAAAAATTAGTAATAAAATCTCTTTTTAAGAATTAGTAATATAATATATCAAGTTATGACAATCCATAAAATTCGATAAGCAGGAGAATTCAATTTTTTGTTTTTGAACTAGAATGCAGGAAAGAATTTATCAGTGCCAGTAAGTAAAGTTTATACAACAGCTTTTCTCCAAAACTGCTGGGGTAGTCTCGAGATAAAAACCTAAACTACTTTCTAAAAATGTAGAAAAAGTAGTTTTGAATCCTGGTATTCTAAATTTCTTATTTTTCCTAATTTATAAACTATCTAATATGTAAAATAATTATATAAAAATGGTACTTAAATGTTCATAAGATTATTTAATTATTCGGTATTCAGTCAGTAATAGTATAAATGGTGCTGAATTTTCGAAACGAGTAATTGAATAGTCTTTGCAAGACCAGGCATATCACTCTAATAAACATGTAGCGTGTCAGTGATATAACAACTGTGTACAGTGATTACAATAATACGAGAGTATATTCCAAATTTTTGGTATTTTGCTGAATACACTATTTGTTAAAGTCTAATAAAAACATAATATATTTCATTCCAGCTGTACTTCAAGTGTTGCAAATCAAAACATGGTTTTGCACAATTTTTTAATATATTCTCATTTACTTACTATTTTGAGTAAGGCGTCACATTCAGAACTTCTAAGAGATAACTGCGAAAAATATGATTCATATGTTTCATCATCATTTTTTATCAATCTATCTTCAACTTCTGAGTAAGATTTTAAAAACTCTTGCATGGAACATTGCTCGAAATCTTCATTTCTAATAAATTCTTCATAAGAACCAGTAACTACCTGTGGCATATTATATATAATTAGAATCATATACTTTTAGCAACAGGGTAGTAAATAGTATCTTTGTATATTGTATTGTTATATATTTATTGTAATCCATCCTTGTTCTCGATCATATTAGGAAAGTTATAAATATTATTCATTTAAAAATATATAAAATAAGATCAAGTTAGATGCATTAAACATACCACAGATCAAATATTGCAATACCTGAGATAATTCAAAGAAGATTTCACGTTGAACCGTTGACAGAGGAGCCAGTGGATGGTCAGGAATCTCCCACTGGAGAAGTTTGTTTTGAATTCTGCGTATATTTGAATTTTCAGATTTTGCACTTTCAATATCCTCCATAATGTTTATGATTTTTTACTTCGATTTTATTCGAACGTTTATTTCTTCATGCTTTTTATAGATTATCTTAACTTATTATTATTATTACTATTCTATCAAATTATTTCTGTTAATTTTAAATACAAATATCTGACCTGTTAAGGTCAACCGTCCAATATTTACATCATCTTCAAATAACTCTGGTTTGCAATTGCAACGTCAAGACAACACGGCCACCCACTGCACTAGCATATTTAATCTAAGGAAGGCACAGTATCTGATAAAATATATAATATATTGGTATATAATTGGTAGAAATCGGCTCCACCATAGCAGTAGACACACGGCATCAAGACATGCTTCTATTCATTATGAATTATGTATTATTATATTGTCTAGGTATTTGACATTGCTAATTTCTACAAGAAGATTTGTCTGCTAATTTGACAACCTTTGTACCAACACACAAAAAGAAATCGACGTTAATAAAAGAACGCGTCCCCATCATAGATAGAAGAATAAAATAGATCGCAATGCCTTGTAATTTTACGTTACCACGTTACCGTTATGTTTATATATCTATGGACGTTACCATTAGATTAGAAATGCATTATATTTATGTATTTATGTTTACTTATCCTATGTGCATTAGATCGGCTATGTCCAACCTGCGGCCCGATGGCGATTTTTGTGCGGCCCCATGACAAACAGCAATCGCTCAAATTATTATTTTCAATTTAAATAAATAAAATAATTTTTGTAAAGGCTAATATAGAAGTCTGAGCACTAAGTCAGCTTCAACCGAAAGTAATGGTCATTAATCGAATGAATAGATGTCGATATCAGTTCAAGTCGAACCCTCGACGCGGACGGACGTGTGAAAGTGAATGCTCTCGCGTCAAATTATTATACTGTGTATGTAAACCATAATCAAAGTACGAAATTAATGTAGTTTTTACAAACATTAAATAAGTGATATTTTATAACAGTGTACTTAACTTGTATAGTAATTAGTGTGTTGACATTACACATTTTTGTGTCACCCTTATGGGGACACAATGAACAAACTTTCTCTTACCAAAACAAATAATATATTACATGAAGATTTGCAAACATGTTCGGATCAAACCACAGAAAAATTACGTCTCAAATTATCAAATAATTTAAACGGAAATTCGATTAATTGTCAAGAAAAAATGGATACTGAACAAACTATTCCAAAACCGATGCCTCGGAAAAGCGTGAAAATTCATATAGAAAATCCAACTAAGCAGACCCGGACCCCATCAGAAAACTCACTTTTGAACGATTCTTCATCTTGTTTAGATAATGTTCATCCTGTGTCGATTTCACACAACCAACCACCATCGACCTCCAAACAAGGATCAAAAGTCATGAGCTTTGAAGAATGGATCGAGGTTAAGTACAAAAAACATAAAGCAAATAAACCTGCAGAGTATTGGTTAAACCCTACATTAACCAGCAATTCCTTTGAAATTTTGAATGAAGTTCAAGAGCCAGAGCCAACAGAGAAAGAAGTAGTCTTAAAACCGCCACCAATTTTTGTCCATGATGTTAAAGACATCAGACCTTTGTCAATTTTACTAGAAACACACGCCAAAGGTAACTATACTAACAAAATTGTTGGTACAGATCAAGTCAGAATACAGTTGAGTTCTGCACAGCTATATAACAAAATTTTGAACCTCTTAAAAATTAGAAACACACAGATGCACTCTTTTCAAAGCAAAACCAACCGAACATTTAAAGTAGTCATTAGAAATATTCACTTCAGCACCGATATAAAAGACATCAAAAATGAAATTGAATCTCATGGACACAAAGTTGTGTATATAGCTAACATCAAGCACAGATTTACTCGTGCTCCACTGCATATGTTTATGGTAGAATTGGAACAAAACGCTAACAACAAAGACATCTTCAACATAGAATTTTTGAAATCCAACAAGAGAAATTGTACAGTGTACAAAATGTCAACGTTATGGTCACACTAAATCGTATTGTTTCAGAGACGCAAGATGTGTGAAATGTGCTGGCGATCATCTCAGTAAAAAATGCGAATGGACAGATCGCATCAACAAAAACGTCAAATGCGTACTTTGTAAAGAAAACCACCCAGCCAACTACAAAGGTTGTAAGGAATACAAACAATTATTTGCTCAAAGATTTCCCCCAATTCGCACCAGATATTATCCAACAGAAAATACTATAAACAGACCGTCATATGTTCAATCTAATAAATCGTACGCGCAAGCCACAAACCCAATAGACCAAATTATGCCAGATCCAAATGTCTGCAACCAGCAACAAGCTAATTCCGACATTGATGAGCTGAAATCTATGATGAAAGATTTAGTAGGCAAATTTAGTATCATACTAAATTTACTAACCACCGTCGTTTCAAAATTAAAATGAATAGTAACTCATTAATAATTGGAATCTGGAATGCCAATGGTCTTGCTCAACATAGGCAAGAATTAGAAATATTTTTAATAGAATACAAAATAGATATTATGTTAATCTCAGAAACCCACTTTACAAACTTAAACTATTTCAAATTAAACAATTATAATTTTTACAATACTAATCATCCGGATGGAACAGCTCACGGTGGAACTGCTATAATAATAAGAAAAAACATCAAACATTACCAAAACACATCTGTCAATGAGGATTTTATACAAGCCACATCACTAACAATTCAACAACAAACTGAAAAATTAATAATATCTGCAATTTACTGTCCACCAAAACACAAGATCACCTGTGAACAATTTGAAAATTTTTTCGGAACACTTCAGAGAAAATTCATAGCGGGAGGAGACTTTAATGCGAAGCATACCTTTTGGGGATCTCGATTGGCAAATCCAAGGGAGAACGAACTTTATAAAACCGTCCAGAAACACGGGCTAACGACCCTATCCACTGGCGAGCCCACATACTGGCCGAGTGATCTGCGCAAATTACCTGATCTATTGGATTTCTGCGTCTTGAAAGGTATAGCAAATGAACACATTCAGGCTAAATCTTGTCTTGATCTAAGTTCTGACCACACACCGATAATAGTCACATACAGTACAAAAATTTTAGAAGACAAGAAAAATGATTTTTTAACTAATAAGTATACAAACTGGGAATTATTCCGAAACATTATAGAGCAAAATCTCAACTGTAATATACCATTGAAAAACAAACATGACCTGAAAAATGCTGTTGATAAATTTAGTGCAATTGTAATAGACGCAGCTAGAAAAAGTACCCCACCACAAATTAAAAAGACTTCACACTTGCTCTATAGACACCAAAGCTCTTATTGCAGAGAAAAGGAGGCTAAGAAAAAGATGGCAGCTAACCAGATCTCCACAAGACAAAACGCAATTGAACAGAATGTCTAAATTGATTAAACAACAGATAACAACGTTTAAAAACGACCAATTTCAAGACTTTTTATCCCATTTAACAATATCAGATCATTCGATTTGGAAAGCCACAAAAAACTTAAAACGTCCTGCCATTACTATACCTCCAATTAGAAAACCGGACAACACTTGGGCACGCAGTGATTTAGAAAAAGCAGAATATTTCTCGACTTACTTCAAGGAAGTTTTTACGCCAAATTCTTCAAAATCCTCGGAACAAGAAGAAAAATTTATTTTTGATTCTTTGAAAGAAGTTCAGTTAAATTTTTCATCAAACATCATTATCAAAGTTCCAGAAATTACAAATGAAATCCGAAGAGCAAAATCTGCAAAAGCACCTGGCGTAGACAACATTAATATTAATATACTTAAAGAGCTTCCCTACAAAGCCTACCGTTTCATAACAATCCTGTTTAACGGTATAATAAGACTTAAATCATATCCCGATCAATGGAAAATTGCTAAAATCATAATTATTCCGAAGCCTGGTAAAAATCCGAATGAAGTCCAAAGTTATAGACCAATTAGTTTACTTCCAACGTTATCCAAAATATTCGAAAAGGTCTTAATTAGAAAAATAAAACCATTTATTTATGATAGCAACGTTATCCCTGAGCATCAATTTGGATTTTTAGAAAAACATGGCACACCAGAGCAAATTCATAGAATTGTCGACAATATAAACAAGGCTTACCAAAACAAGAACTACTGTTCAGCTGTTTTCCTCGATATTAGTCAGGCATTTGATAAGGTGTGGCACCCCGGCCTACTTTACAAAATAAAAAATGCATTGCCGATTGATATATACCTAATAATAAAGTCTTACCTAGAAGGTAGAACATTCTTTGTTAGTGTAAGGGGTGAAACATCCTCATTACATCCTGTCAGATCGGGAGTGCCTCAAGGTAGTGTCATTGGGCCACTATTATACCTCATATACACTGCGGACCTACCACAGAAAGAAGACATTTTGACAGCAACATATGCAGACGACACAGGCATAATGGCAACACATGAAGATCCCATAATCACATCAAAAATGCTGCAGGATCATCTTGACGTGATACAAAAATGGTTAAGCTTGTGGAGAATAGAAGTTAACAGCAGCAAGTCAAAACACATCACTTTCACTCTTTGCAAAGGGACTTGTCCTGCAGTAAGACTTAATGACGAAATTATAGATCAAACAGACACAGTAAAATATCTAGGTTTACACCTGGATAAGAGACTAACCTGGAAAGAACACATTAAGAAAAAGAGAAAGCAGCTAGAAGAAACCAGAAGAAGATATCATTGGCTCCTTGGACGAAAATCAAAACTTGACACTCATAATAAAATTTACCTCTATAAAGCCATCATTAAACCAATTTAGACATATGGCATACAGCTATGGGGATCAACTTCCAACTCAAACGCTTTAATAATTCAAAGATTTCAAAACAAGTTATTAAAAGAAATTTTGAAAGCACCAAAATATGTTCCAAATTGGTTAATACACAAAGACACAGGCACTAGCACAGTTAAGGATGAAATAATCGCTTACTCACACAAATATAGAAATCGCCTAGCTGAACACCCAAACTTGCTCGCGAGAAAACTTCAGAACAACCCTACCAGGGCCCGATTAAAAAGAAAATTTCTTCTGCATTAATCAACAATAGATAAGACCTTCGACAATTCACTGGCAATGGTCAGATGATTTGTATTTTGCCAACGCCTTCAGTTTCATGTCAAAAATTTTACTTGTTGTCCGTTTCAGGACAGTTGTAAAAATTATTAAAATAATAAAAAAAAAAAAAAAAAAAAAAAGATGTCGATATGATACTTTATGGATAGCGCTTGACAGATAACGACAAATAATTGTCAACGCAACGGACAACAGGAGACTAGCGGCTCTATTGACGAGTGGGCAACACTAGTTCACGAGTCACTCACCAGTTTATAAGTCCATATGCTTGTAATCGTGGGGAGTTATATCCGAAAAAGTGTTCATATTACGATTATTTAAAAAAAAAATTTCAAACAGTTTTAAAATGCAAAAAAAACATTTTTTCAAAAAAGTCCATTTTTTTTCAATAATTTCAAGATTCTCAAAAATCTAATTTTTTCAAAGTTTTCAAAAATATTAAAGCTTTTAAAAGTTTGGAATTATGGCACGAGAAGCTCCATCAAATTACCTTAAGGCAAGATGCCAAGCACCGCTAGTTTTTCCAGATTTCTTGCGGCCCAGTGCCTTGTACATTCCTAAATTTTAGCCCAAAGAGTAATTTAGGTTGGACATCGCTGTCCTAGATAAATAAGCATTGTCATAGAAGCATTGTAATCCTTGTAATCCTAGGTAAATAAGCTTGTAATCGTCGGGAGCATAGATAAGAGAAGAGTATAAGCTTGTAATGGTCGGGAGTTATCTCATAACATAGATAAAAAGTTCATAATATGAAAAAATGTTTATATTATAATTATTTTGAAAAAAAAAGAATTTTCAAACCATTTTTTTAAAATTGTTTCAAAAAAGTCAATTTTTTCGATTATTTCAAGTTTCTTAAAAATCTAATCTTTTCAAAGTTTTCAAAAATATTAAAGCTTTTAAAAGTTTGAAATTACGTTACGAGAAGTTTTATCAAATTGCCTTAAGGCACGATGCCATGCGCCACAAGTTTTTCCAGATTTGTTGCGGCCCAGTGCCTTGTACTTATGCTTATTTATCTATCTTGTAATTATGCTTATTTATTTATCTTGTACTCCTTGTACTTTCCTAAATTTTGGCCCAAAGAGTAATTTAGGTTGGACATCGCTGCATTAGATCATAGACTGTGGAATAGTGGCAACACTGCATTGTGTTCGACAGCTTTCATTCGTTGAAAGAAACTGAAGTGTGAAAAAAAACAAATATTGTGTGCGAGTTGAAAGTTTTTTGGTCAAGTTCTTAAAAAAAATCTTTCTTAAAATTGTTTGTTTGCTGATAATACTTATATAAGTACTAAGTGCAATTAATCCAGTTATACTACTATATGTCTTACTTTGTAACTAAAGCAAACCATACCGTATCATATTTATTAAACAATGTCAGACCCGGTGCCAGAACAAACTTTACCACAAACGAATGATAATTGTGCCGCATGCAATTTCTGCAAGAGCATATTTCTTCAACCTCGAATGGCCGGTGGATTTATTGAGCATTCGGTATATACAGTTTACAGGCGTTTAAAATGACGATTTTCGTTGACATTAACCTTAAAACTTGCAGATGGAACTTCCGCTGATGGTACAGAAATTCAGTGAAACGAACGCTGTGCAAAAAGAAAATGTCAATCAGTTCTGGGCTGTCAATACGCTATATGACTTTGAAAACATGGGCTTTTCAAACACTGTAGGCACCATAAAATACCTAGTGTGTGCAGATTGTGAAATGGGACCTGTTGGATATTATGACCTATCCACAAAGAAATGCTACGTTGCTCTCAGCAGAGTAACGGATCATGACAAATAAAAATGATAACAATAAATTTTTATTTACAATATCCTAAAAAACGCTTGCAAATCTCTATTTTTTACTATCATATTTTTGCACCATTAAGTTATTCATGAACGCTAGAAGTTATTTATGAACATCAATTTGTTATTTTAAATACTTTGTTATTTATTCTCGCTAATTTATGAGCTAATATAATTCATATTATAATTTAATATTTGGATATTGCATTTGCTTGACAAGTTTCAAAATATTGAGTCACTAATAGTATTATACTTTTTACAATATTTTCACATATGATTTTTGTTTCTAGTTTTTGTATCATATTTTATAATTTGACAATTGAATAGTTAATATCAATTATATTAGCCAGTTTAATATACGAGGTAAATCTTAATTCGTCATTTTTGTCTGAACGTTTGTATAGTAAAGCCAATATAGGCTGTTGTTTAGTCATGTAATATGTAGGTAATGCATTAATATCAAAATTCATAGGACTTAAAGCATTACTATGAACAAGCCATTTTGTATTTATAATAAAAAGATATTATATATTAGCTACTAAGTGTCTGTAAGCATATATTTATATGAATTGAAGAAGTTTAAATATAGCAATGTTTTTAAACATATTGTATGTTCTATCAGAATATCACATATCTTATATATTGATAATAATGAATATTATTACTATTAAGGGCATGACATAGAAACTTGGAGGACTTTGTGATGAAAATTCTAAGAGCGCAATTAAATTTGTATAAATACAAATGTTAGAACATTCATTTTTAATGAAATCAGTATGTTTTGTATAATTTCACATGCTGACAAAAACAGATACTACTATGCGGTTTCAAATTGTTCATTAAAAAAAATACATTTTTCATAGTTAGTTAACTTCTCCAACCAAAAATGAATGCTTTTGCAGGAAAATCCAATTTTCTAATACAATTTGTGTTTTCTAGATGCTGAAAGTCATTTTGAATTGTTTGACCACAGAAGTATGTGAGCCAAAATTTGACTTTTGTAGAAGTTTTTTCAAATACTGCTGCACCTGTTTCACGAATTTAAAAACATTTAATAAAGCTCGATAAAGACTAGTGCTGATTAGTTTTGCGAGGCAATCGTATTTTTTTGGTATTTGGAGAAAAGTGCAAAAATACTTTACTAAATATGATTAGCGGATTATACACTACTAATATAATAATAAATACCAGTATAATATACTCTACTAATATAGTAATAAATACTAGTATAATATACTCTACTAATATAATAATAAATACTAATAAACACTTTACTATGTAATAATAAACACTTGAGAGTGCTCTACTAATTTTATGATTATGGCATTAAAAGAAGCCTACTGCCCACTCAAGAGGGTATCAAATGAGGTAGGTAATATTTAATTCACAAACAGTAATACCCCACTTAATAGTAATTTTTTTTTTTTTTTTACTGATATAAATGTAAAAGATTTCAAAGAATAAGTGAAATAGGTCTTTCGAATAATGAACTAGGCAGAGAAATAACAAAAATATTTATGGAAGCGATGTCTAAAAGGAACAAGGAGAATTTTCAATTACGTTTGTAAATAGGTCTTTGACCTTCATACTGAATTTATGAACCAATTTATTGAAAATGATCCAAATATTTACAACAGTTCAAAAGCAAGACGAGGTGCTATAGATAGAAAATACACAAACTACATTAGATGACTTCTTCATTATGTAGCTAAAAATTGAAAGTACAAAATAGAAAATTCAACTTTTATTAATATGTCATATTCTAATATTGTCCAGGTAACTAATGATTTATGCTTGGTAAATTGAGGCTTTCGATCTCTAGTTCATTTAATAGAACGATGTAAAGCGGAAGACAGACAGACAGTTACCAGGAAAGAGAAATTATAAAAGTATGCAATACACCTCATAGCCTGATACTTGACCAAATTAAAAAGCTCACTGGAAACTTTTACCTCAAATGTAGGGATCACTTGAATAACAACATCCAGGCCCTGTATACACAGAAAATAGTTTGGTACAGTAAACATGCCATGCCAAACTATATACTGATCCAACCATAAATGTAATTAGAACCCCTGTTATTTTGCTAAATACAATGTGAATTTTTTATATTACATAGAAATGTACTGATGTAAAATATCTAATTAAGTATAATACCCAAGGATAGACAACTTAACTAAACCGATCCAACTTTATGTAGTATACAATTTATATATTGTAACATATCTTTTTTGAATTGAAATTGAAAACATTAAATACAAGATGGACTATTTTCCCAGTAGTGGGAAATAATGTCACTAAGAGCGCGAGTTTTCAATTATTGCAAGACATATTCATTAAATTGTTGCATCTAAATATTCTATTTTTTTTATTCAGCACTAATAAATAAGTTGATCCGTTTAAAATATTTGTGAAAATTGATATCTTCGATTTGATGGCATAGAAACAATTGTCTAACGACTGATTGACTGATTTATAAATTCCCTCCCCGCCACAAACGTCAGTGTAGTTAGTATCAAATTAACTGTGCTTACGGTTACTACAACTCTACTAGACAGATGTAGATAATACACATGAATTGTTAAATGTTTTGTGGACTTTTACTGTTTTACTTATTTTGAGGTGGTTGCAAATTAGTCACACCTAAAAAATTGATATTATACTTTTTTTTTTTTAAATAAATATATATTATAAAACTATAGTGAGAAATGTTGTGGGGGCAAGCTCTACGTTTTTCAAGGTTAGCATATAATGTAAGCAGGAACGTAGGATTTGCGACACCAAAAACGAATATTGAAGCAACATTCAAACGATTAATATCAGTAAAACCTCCTGTTTTACAAGAGGACAAGTAAGTTAAAAATTGTTTTATAAGTTTGTTTGAAAATGTAAGTCACAGTCAAAGTGTATTGTTCTAGTCAGGGTCCTCAAAGCCAAAGTTCTGTAATAACCAGCTTAATCCTGGGGGTTACGTTCCAAGAAATTAGAGCGTCAAACGGGGCTATCTTAACCTGTTAATAACGGAGTTAGGGAAAGATGGATAGAAAGTTGGCCTTTCCTTAAATTTAATAACTGGTTATTCTTAATAAAAATTTAACATGACATTCATTCATAAAACTATTCAGATAGACTGAATGGATCTTTTGAAAGTCATCTAATGTAGTTTGTGTTTTTTCTATCTATAACACCTTTTCTTGCTTTTGAACTATACTACTATCAATATTTTTGTTATTTTTCTGCTTAGTTCATTGTTTCATATCATTATTAAAAAATTCTATTTAAGTATTTCTTCAAAATCTTTTACATATCTCATCTAAAAGAATCAGCATTAAGTGGGGTATTACTGTCACTCGTGTGATTTCGATTTTATACAAAAGTACTACATATTTTGAATTGAATAAGCTTATTAGATCATGAACAATGTATGCCCACAAGTATCGATTATATACATGTTGCAATACTTAAAAACTCATTTTATTAAAGTTTTAATTCTCACTTTTAGGCTTTAATTAGAAACAATAGAGTTGTCATATAAAATATTACAGCATAAAACTATTGAATATTTAGTCTCTTATTAACATATTTAAATAATTTAATTATTTATTAAGTATAATTTCAAATCTGTGGAATCGTATTAATCATTATAAAAAAGTAAGAATTAATTATTAAACATTAATAAGATAGCCTTTAATTTAAGTTGTACCTGCATATAATTGATTCATAGTTACTTGAATTCCAGATCATTTTGTTAACAAAATGAATAAATTGACTGTGCACATATTTTCTACAGCTAATAATATTGTACTCAATTATGTTCCTAAACAATTCTTCTCTTGAAGGATATCTGTCACCTTGTGAAAGCCAATGGTGAAAAGATTGAAGCTAAAGGAAAAGTAGGAGATAGCCTTTTAGATGTGGTGGTAAATAATGAAATTGATCTTGATGGTTATGGAGCCTGCGAAGGAACATTAACATGTTCAACTTGCCACCTTATATTTGAATCTGCTGATTTTGATAATTGCCAGAAAAGGCTAGTGATGAAGAATTAGACATGCTAGATCTAGCTTATGATCTAACAGATACTTCAAGATTAGGATGTCAAATTATTTTATCAAAAGAGTTAAATGGACTTGTTGTAAAAGTACCAGCAACCATAAATGATGCACGAAGCTCGGATTTAAAATAATGTTTGAATATCTATTTATTAACTGATTTTAATTCTTTTAAACAATGTTGAACAAATATGTACAGCAATTTTTATCATGTTTAAATGTATATAGATTATTGTTATTAAGTGGTACATAGTTTATTTTTACAGTTGCAATAAAAGTATAATATTTAATAAAATTTATTTATATACGACAGGAACCTGATTTAATAAATTTACATACATAAATTTTTGCTTGTTTATTATAATTACATTGTGAATCCCATCAAAATAGGTAAAAGTATATGTGTTTGTTTATGTTTGCGTGAAATGAGCTGTCGCATCTATAAAATACAATTTTTTGCATATACATATTGATAAAATATATGGCACTAAAGAGGTTTAATTCAAAGAAATATTATCATGTAAATGTAATAAAGTAAAAATAGTTGTTGATGAAACAAAAAAAAATTTCAAAATAAACAGTAAAAAGTGTTAATCAAATAGGTAAATCGTAATTCTCATTAATTAAGCATATACTTAATGGAGTGTATACTTAATAAAATGTGTAAATAATATATATTATTTACACATTTCGCGAAGTTCATAAAGTTGTCTTATTGTAAATTGTCACTCACAACTATTTATTTTATAAATTCATAGCCTTAAAATATTCTGTTATAGTTTGTTATATTCTGAATATATATATATTTTTTTTTAAAATTCAATCTAAATGGCAGTTGGTAACTGCTTTATCCGCAATATACTGTACAATACACAAAATTCTGCCATTTCTCCATGACGATTATTTTCGTTGATTACAGTTAACTGGTAAAATTGCTGCTGATTTTCTTTAGATTTCAATGAAACTTTGAATAGTGAAGCGTCATGGTCTAGTCTAAACAAACATTCTAAAATATTATTATATAAACCTACGAAACATTAGACGTTTAATTATAAAATTTCATTAAAGTTTGGAATAACCGGAAGAATAATAGTTTTCGAAATAAACAAAATAGTTCAAATCTCGATTCCTAATTGATTGTTATATTGATTTATCTATATCGGGAAGTTCATGTAAGTTGGGTTAACGCAAATCGACACTTACACCTAGCATTGTAAATAATTTTGCGTGTCACGGATACTAGAAAAAAACGGCAAGTGAATAGCCTCGTTATGTACGAATTTTGAGAGCGCACGTCATATCTGATTTATTAAACACCGTTTTTTCAACGACCTTGGATTTCAATGGCACGTTATCATTATGACTATCAGATGTCAGAGGCAGTATTCAAACGTTATTAATATTTTCATGTATCTAATCTGTTTCAATTTGGGAAGAGATCGTTGCATAACAGTAATACTTGAACAAAGATAATATTCAAAATGCACGAATTTCACAAAAATGTAAATGTAAATTGTGGCTTACTTGAAAAAATATCTGAATTAAATACTACTAATTTAAATACTACGAATTTAAACTCAAGTCTCACTTATGTAAGGTCATCAAAATTATAAAAAACTAATTTTTCATGCTTTGATACTATAGCTGTTTTGGCGACTTGAAACGTTTGCATAAACAAAATTTTTATTCTTATTATCTTTCCGTAGGGTAAGTTATAGTCAGGGCCGGTCCTGCCTTGAATGCAATGCATGCAAAAAATGCGGGCGCACGCCTTAGGGGGCGCCAAAACGAGAGGTTCGGTAATGGAATTAATATATATTTTTTTTATTTTTTAAATATAAAATCTGAATACTTAATAGATTTGATAACAATCCAACTTAACTAGAGTCATAAAAGGCATATTCATGTTTGCAATGTGATATCAGTAGAAAACAATAACCAAATTAACCAACAAAAATAACAGCAAAAACAACAACAAAAACTCTGCAAATTTGTAAATTGGTAAAAGTAACTGCTTATTATTTAATGTTACTCTTGAATTTTTTTCTTCGTTGAAGTTAACATGGAATCGAAAAAGAAAATATTTAGTGTCATCTCGTACGTAAGAGCAAACCTACGAAAGTTAAATTAATTATTGAGCGTTATTGATGAAAAATAGCAAGCTGATTTAGTTAAAATGGAACTTGTTAAAGAAATATATACTAATTATATAGAGAACATGGAAAATGGGGAGTCAGTGCTCAAAAAATGGCTTGTTTATTCCGAAAAATTGTACTTTAACTTTTGTTTTTGTTGCAAACATATGTGATATATATCACATCTGATGAAATTTGAACGTTGAAAGACATGCGTGGGTACGTTACGGATACAAATTTCAAAAACACTCGATTCGTATTTATAAGGGAATCAAAAACATTCGATTTGTATTGATAAGGAGGCGTGCTCAGGGCCGGTCCTGCCTTGCATACGATGATGCGAAAAATGCGGGCGCACGCCTTAGGGGCGCCAAAACGAGATTCGGAAATGAAATTTATAATATATTATTTTATTTTTCTTAAATATAAATCTAGAAGGCTTAGAGATTATAATAAACAATCTAACTTAACTATGAGTAGATACTAAGACACAAAAAGCGTATTCTGTTTGCAATGTGGTATCAGTAGAATCAATTAACCGATTAATAACTCCGCAAATTAATTAATTATTATTCTGCTTATTGTTTAATGTACTTATTAAATTTTCCGTCGTTTGAAGTTAATGTGGATCGAAAAGAAATTATTTAGTGTTCAATCCCGTAAGCGCAAATCTACGAAAAAATAGAAACAAATTATAATAGAGAAAAATGGAAAATGGGAAGTCAGTGTTCAGAAAATGGCTTATTAAGACCCAGAAACTGAATAGTAACTTTTGTTTTTGGTGAAATGTTTCGCATCTGATGAACTTTAAACTTGAAGACATGCGTGGTTAAGGTGTTATGGAAATGGAGCAATATGAAACATGGAAGCAAAATGTACTTACAATTAGAAAAAAAATCGTGAACTATTTTTATACCTAGTGGTGTCCATACTAAATTAATCATTAACTAAGCAGAAATAATATACAGATACAAATAATTGTGTTTTGTTAACTTCCCGTAGGGCAAGTTATAGTAATCGCAAAAAATCGAAAATGAAATTTTTGCATTTCTCGACGTTTCAAAGGTTTCTAAATATTTTGGCATACCTTAAAAACATGGATGTGTTGTGTGTGTGTGTGTGTTGTGTATGTGCGTGTGTGTATGTATGTGCGGGATACAACTTTTCGTCGACGATTTTAGAACCACCGATCAACCGATTTGAATAATTCAAAAAACATTCGATTTGTATTGATAAGGAAACGTGCTGATTAGTTTTGGCGAAGTCAGGTCTAGCCGTTCCGAAGATACGGGGCAAAAAGTGCCGAAAACGGTAACTCAGTTTTTAAGAGAACGGAGCGTCCGATTTTAATAATTCAAAAAAACATTTTACTTGTATTGACAAGATGAAAAATCGATAAACTTTTCATGAAGGTAGGTCTATAGCGGTTTCGAGAGATATGGAGGAAAAAGTAAAAAAATGAGCCATTTGGCGGTCAAAAATGATCATTGGACATATGCACATCAAATTATCAGATATTTTATAGAGATTTTAACAATAAGTATACATTTGTTAACATACCTATGGGTTCCGTACCAATGCTTATGCTTAGACAGCGACGCGGCGCTTACGCGCTTTTATATTTTGTCCCTATGCAGATAAAGCAGTACGATCGCTTTGAAAAAAAAGTTCAGATCTTCACAAATATGTCAAAATAAAGAAAAAAAAAATTTTTCAAAAAAAAAAAAATTAAAAAATTTTTTTTTTATTAAAAAGTTATTTTTTTGTCCAATTTATAGTTTCTAAAAATCTTATTTTTCAAAGTAAATTTTTTCAAAAATGTTAATCGGTTTTTAAAAAAATAATAATTTTGGTACGGGAAGTTCCAGCAATTTGCCTTAAGGCACGATGCCTTAATTGCCTTAAGACAGAATTC